AGATGAAGCTGTTGTTAGTATGTAAAGTCAATGATTGTGAAGAAGGAAGAAGAAGGAATGATTGTGATGAATGACTGTGATGAGTGTGGAAATGATAGTTGCATTGGTCGAATCTGTCCAAGAGTTATATACATCTCCTCGCCACGATTGCTTCTAGCCAGAGAACCTTAGGCTTCGGTTATCCAACTTCCAATCCTTTGAGCTACGGAAAAGCCTCATTCATCGCCTGATTGTCACTCTAGTGACCAGAAGCTAGCGGAGTCGTTGCAGAATTAGGCGCACCTCGCTCTCGGTACTCGGAAGAAAATCTTTGAGATTCGGCCACTGACGCTGCAGACCTGACTCTTGGGACTCTGGGCATCATACCGAAGCAAAAATAGCAACCATGCTTCAAACTGTAGCGCGAGTCTTTTCTCAAAGACTCTTTGTTTGATCCGAAAAAACGGGTGATGTTCGAGGATTGTCTTTGACAAAGGAGTGGCCCGGTGTGGCTTGAACGTTCGCCTGTCGGATATCGTTGATGCTAAGAAGCCTCTAATCCATATTCTGCTAGTTCATGGCGGCGCTCGTATTGCAACCAGCGTCGCCGTCAATCAAGCTAGTAGTGTCATTGGCACAAAGTCTACGATCCGGAGACCGGAAAGCTTACCTTTTTTGTCAACGCCCTGAGGATCAGAAACGATACTGCCTCTACAATAGATTGAGGTGAGTAAAGGGTTGAGACGGATGGTGTGATGGCCGATCAGAAAACTATTCGTGGACTCTGGAAACTCATCATGACATCCAAAGTACCTAAGGTAGATCCGACAAGAGCTTCTCCGGATCGACATTGCGCATCGAGCATCGACGTGCCAGCACAGCATACCAAGTAAATCAGTAGATCTAGACTTGTCGATCTGGCGTGGTACTGACAGCGCGATATTACCCGAGTGCCTGGGTTCCCGCTTGGCCCCGTGTAACTCAGGTGGAACTGCTACCGTATAATTAACTCATGACAGACGGCGCCTTCCCTTAGACTTTGACGGGAACGCCGCCTTACTGGGACGTCAAGTTCCCCTCACGCTAGCAAAAGCGAATTCGTTGACTAACAATGAGCGATCTACGCTACTGCAGGGCAGGCTTTGAAGAATCGGGAAATCGGCTGCGACTGCAAAGTCAAAATTCTACCAACTATTTTGGCCATTCCACTTCTGGGGATTCCAGTAGATTGGTTGAATGATCCATCCAAGTAGTGTTTCTGTTACCACGTGGTTGAGATAACCAATATTGGCGGGCGTAGCCTAGCGGCGCCTTCAATGACAGCCAGCTAGTCAGTTCGTAGAGAGCAAGCAGAGCTACTCTCTGGTCAGCTTGAGGCTAGACTTCTCCATTATGGAGCATAAGCTCCAAATGTCAGATACGAGATCAAGCTTCCGGGACTCCCAATTTGGAACAGTCCAGGATCACCTTTCACGTAAACATCGCACAGGTTTGTTCAGCTTTGGTAAGATCACCTATCGGCCCAGGCCCCTTAGTAAGTATGGTGAAGGGCTTAATATGATGAGGTTTGTATGATCTAGCCCTACTTGTCTTTCGGTCTAGTCTCCAGATCTGGTTGTTCATGTATCAAAGGAGGTTGAAAGGTGAAGCTTTACGCGGGGCATGTGGCATTTTGATCCTGAGGTTGACTGATATTTGTATATTCGAATTTCTAACAGTTGTTTCTCTCCGTACGGAAGCAGAATATGTTGATGGTTCCGTCCGACTGCTCGCAGCAAGTTGCGCCCAAGTCTGGCGCTGAACCTCCAAAGCAGTTGGGCTTGCAATTGGCGCAAATATTTTGACACTACGGTAGATACACAGAGTCAGTTTACAACTAATAGAGAGACTGAGTGGTTAACGCCAGACAGAAGTGAGAGACTTACGCTTGTTTTCGTTCCCTTGTCAGCAGGACAGCTACCATCTGCAGGAGCGCCAGCGCAGAAGATGAAAGCGGCAGAAGCGGGAAGAGCGAATTGGGCCAGCGCTGCGACAGCGAGAGTAGGATGGAACAACATTTTCGTCTTAGTAGTTATAGGATATCTTTCGATGTAGAAAATGAACAGAAATAAGAGATCGGCTTTTGTCTGGGAGAAGCTCTGCTACCCGATGTATTGATAGAACAGTGACCAGTCATCTCTAAAGGCTGGGAGCAAGCTGTTGTTTATACGGGGTGGATGCTGTGTTCATCTCGCAGCTTCTTCATTCGTTCGGGATACATTGTCAATGTATCCAAGTTCCGCAATCCGTGGATCGCGAACTCCATCCCCACGACTTGGTTCGTCCAGAATAAGTTGAGATGACTTGACCCAAGTGACCGACCAAGGGTGGCCTCGCCAAAGCTGGAACTCATCCGATACATCTAGTACATTACTCGTCATTCGACAGTCCTGTGGGAGCAAAGAGGTCCGCCGTCGAATGATGATCCTCGAGAGATCTCCGCAGGAACCCTGCACGAATGCATGATCCAAATACAAAGCTTGTTGGGCGTCGTGAGTCGTGGAGGCTGTGAGTTACTTTTATCCCATGCTTAAGCTTGCAAAAGCTGCTCATACCAATGTATTTGGGACTTTCGCTTACCGTGCCCCGATAGGGCTTCGTCATGTTGCTGCACTCGTTCTCCTGCGATAAGTCACCGCAGCCGAGACGATTTGACAGCGGTCCCTCCGAAGTTACCGATAATAAACATAGTAATATTGGTCTCGGTGATCTCATGATTCCCATCCCGCTTAAGTAATTTGCAATGCAGTTGAGAGCCTGAGACGCGGTGCGCCCGTAATAGCCGCAGCGACCGATTTGCTGATGGGAACAGAAGTTTTACCTCTCATCGTCTGGCTTGGATTATTGATCAGATATCAAAGCCGCCAGGCGCTGAATGACCGAGAATGAAGATACGCCCCCGTTATCTCATATAATCAATTCAATGGGCGGCTTTTTCTGAAGTAATAAAGCTGTTGTACTCTTCTTTAATTATTCTTCAGGACCCTACTGATATCTGCTAGAGTCTGCTCGAAGGATCATCTTAAACAGTTCAATGTCATTCCTCGCATCTAATGCACTCGTCTTCGGAGCCTTCCCGTTGACAACGCAGTCATACAACTCGAGGAACTCATTGGTGTAAGGATCCTGGTATGTCTTCCTGACTTTGCGCTCTTGGAAGCCATCATCCCCGATCAGTTCTCTAATGGTCATCGTGACTGGTAGACCCTTGACGTATGGCGTGTCGAAGTCAACGCGAACGATCTTCTCGGGAGAGTACACCTCAATGTGTGCGTCAAATTGCGGGACTTTGCTGAAACCTGACTCATAAGTGACAGGGAAGTCGTCGTACTTAAACAGGACGCTGAAGATGCCAGGGAAGGTAAGACAAGCTCCTGCAACACTCTTCGGCATACCGATGATTTCTCTCATGGCTGAAAGATCATGGATTCCGAGCCTATGGATTTGTTAGTAATGATGCTCTTTCACTTTTGTTGAATGCCATCATACCCTCCTAGAAGTCGTAGCATCAGTTGAGAACCAGGGGTAACGGGAACTCCAAACTCTTTCGCCAGAGCCTGCTCAGAGATGTCTGCCTCCCGCTCCAGCCTGTCTTTGGTGTCTGCATCGCTGTAGTCGCTGAACTTCAGTGGGAATGTGCCGGACTGGTCGACAAATGTTGAGTTGGGTCCGATGATGTCCCTGACTCTCGCGTACTGGATCTTCTCCATGCCGCCAACTTCCTTCACCGCATCGGTAAATGCAGTTGCGAAACGCCGCATGGTACCAACCATGACCTTTCCCTTAGACTTCTTCTCGGCTTCGACCAGGAGATCTAGGTCTCGGAAACAGACGGAGGCGGGCTTCTCGATGAGGGTGTACTTGTCGTTCTTGAGCGCCAAGAGGCCATGCTCGACATGGTACGCATCAGCGTTGGCAATGACTACCACATCAACGTCTGGCGAAGAGCAGAGTTCTGCTGCATCAGCCGTTGTCTTGGGCGTTCCTCCTTGCACCTTGCGGGCGCAATGCTCTAGAGCTTGTTGTGAGATGTCGCAGAGGTAGGTGGTTTGGTAGCGATGAGAAAGGAAGTTGAGGTTGGGGATGTGGGCTACCTGAGTGATCTCGCCGCACCCGATGATGCCCACCCTGAGGATGGGCGTTTGCTGCTGGGCACTCATGTTTTAAGGTGTCGTTCTTGGTATTTGAGGAAAGTCGTCGAGGGCCTCTTAATGTAAAATGCACATGAATCTGGATTCGAAATCTGGATGATTCTCGCCGACTATCTTGTCTTAGATATGCCTGTTCTTACGATGTTGAGAGGCGTTCGTGATGGCTTTTGTAATTTTGTCAAGCTCCTGTGGGTACAGCTCCAGCAATGTCGTCAGCTTGAGCTGCATTGTTGAGCCCCGAATATCATTGGACACCTGAAGATGGCTTTGAGACCACTTTTGCTTTGGTAGCTTCATCCCATGATGATTCGAAATAATTGGAGAAGTCAAAGCATCTGGAAGTGAAGAGGCTCCGACACTCCCCGAGACCAGCTTAGACCGAACCGTTGCCCGCGGAGTATCGGAGCCACGCCAAAATTGTTAGTGCGAGATCTAAGGTCACCTAGCTCGGTCGAAGACGCGTCCCGAAATGTTGCACGCCGCGACGATGCATTCTTCCCCGCACACTCCCCTGGCCTCCGACTTCCTGAGAACACCCATCCCGAGTTCCGGTCCCGCGTTTACCCCATGGGGATGGACCGGGGTCATGAAGTCGTGCAGAGCTACCGAGAATCTGGTCTGACCTGGACCTTAGGCGGTGGCTGGAAAACCTGGAGTTGGTTGCATTGTCGATGGCTCTCCTGAGGTAGATAAATAGCATGGCATCGCATCTTGTTCTCGAGTTTAAGTCATCCTTGTCGCTTCGACCAGGAGCCTGAAACACCTTTACCAACATCCCAGCGGTGACAATCTCAACAGTCAAGAGATCGCGCAGAAAAACCAACCTTGACAATGGGCTTGTTTTCTAAGAAGACGGGAGCAGAGCTGGCCGCAGGGTCGGCTCTTGCAGCTGTAAGTAACCTTCTTTTTGATTCTCCTAGGTGAGGAGCTACTGACACGCGACAACTAGGTTCTACCCGCAAATCCCAAGCCGTGGTATTTGACACCTCATCTACTGAAGTTGAATCTGTTGCTGCTCGTGCCTCTGTTTTCTTCTGCATCTGTCGGTTACGATGGTATGGGTTCTCGATCCAGCTTTGTGAATCGCCTAACTGACGAGGGAAAGGATCGATGATGAACGGCCTGCAAACCCTCCCTCAATGGCGCCAATTCTTTGGAAACCCCGAGGGCGCCATTCTTGGTCTCATGAATGCTGTTTACCCTCTCGGCAAAGTTGTAGCACTCTTCGTCGTAACGTACATCTCGGACAGATACGGTCGGAAGCTCCCTCTCGTTCTGGGCTTGGCAGCCTGCATCGGGTTTGCCATCTTGCAAGGCATGTCCAAGGACCTTCCAAGCTTCGTCGTCGCAAGAGCTTTGCTAGGCTTCTTCACAACTTTCATCAGCCAGCCGAGCCCTATCCTCATCACGGAATTGGCTTACCCTACCCACCGAGGCCGAATCACAGCTTTGTACAACACATTCTTTGTACGTTGAATCTTCGAGAAGGCCCCGACAGTCTTTGGAAACTTGCTGACGAATATTTTGCGTAGTACTTTGGCTCCATCTTTGCTGCATGGTGCACCTTTGGAACCTTCAAGATTGCGTCTACGTGGAGCTGGCGAATCCCGTCTCTGCTGCAAGGAGCGGTTCCTGTGATCCAGCTTATGGGTGTCTACTTCTTGCCCGAGTCCCCTCGGTAAGTTTGTCTAGTATCTCGACTGTACACATCCTAGCCTTACTGACCGCCTACTGTAGCTGGCTGATGCGCCGTGGTCGTAAAGATGAAGCCAGAAAGGTCTTCGCCGACTGTCACGCGGGTGGCAACCTCAATGACCCTCTGGTCGACTTCGAGATGCGCGAAGTCGAACTCACTTTGGGCGAGGAGGCTGAAGCCATGTCTCAATCATCTTGGCTCGAACTCGTGCGAACTCCTGCCAACCGAAAGCGAACACTGATTGCCTGTATTGTCGGCTTCAGCTCTCAGTGGAACGGAGTCGCAGTGGTCAGCTACTATCTGAGTCTCGTGCTTAACACTATCGGCATCACTGAAGTCAAGGACCAGACTTTGATCAACGGAATGCTGCAAATCTTCAACTGGATCATTTCGACCTTCCTCGGAGCGCTCATGGTGGACCGTTTGGGTCGACGACCCTTGTTCCTGATCTCCACGGCAGGCATGCTCGCGAGTTACATCGCATGGACCGGGTTGACGTCTCACTTCGTCGCCAGCCGTGACGAAGGAACTGGGAGAGCGGTTGTAGCCTTCATCTTCATCTTTTACTTCTTCTACGACATTGCTTGGACGCCGCTCTTACAAGCCTACCCTGTCGAGATTTTCCCTTACACCCTTCGTGGTCGCGGCTTGTCGGTCACCTACATTACTGCCTTCACTGGTCTGATCATCGGCAATCAGGTCAACCCGATTGCAATGAAGGCGATCGCATGGAAGTACTATATAGTCTTTTGCTGTGTCCTGGGAGTCTTGTTCATTGTGATTTGGTTCCTTTTCCCCGAGACAAAGGGTCACACACTGGAGGAGATCCGCGAAGTCTTCGAGGGCAAGCCCGCAAATGCCAAAGTCGAAGATATCGAGGGCCGTGAGGAGGAAGAGACCAAGAAGGATGGCAAAGTTAAGCAGGTTGAGCTAGCATAGAGCGATGGCCTGTTAAGAGGTCTACTTCTCATGATCTCAAGGATGCACAAATTCCGTACAAGTCAAACCAGGAACTATTTGAATAAAGGAAATTGATGCATCCACGACCAATGCCATTGAAATGCAGTCGGCCTGCTCAAGTTTGCTCTGGTGAGCATTGGGAGAAAGAAGTCTCAGTCGAAGATGTTGGCCTATTTGGCATTCGCAACTCAAGGCTTAGTTGCATGTTTGGTGCCAGCAAACCCACGGGCAAGCTGCAAAAACTGAGAACTCAGCGGTTTAAGCAGACGACGCTCAAGAACATTAGTGCGTAAATCATTGAAAATCATCCCGAAGGACTGAAGTTTTGACTGATCAGGTGGGGGAGTCATGCGTTAGACATGGCCTCAAACGCAAACGCTGGAAGTAATGCCGAATGAGGCAAATGTGTCAGCCCATGTTGATCTAGAGCCAGCTTAGTATGCACTCCAACTCCGCCAACTCCGCTGTTGCAAAGCCTTCTCGGATGAGGTCAAGAAACCCGGGACAGACTTCTTCGGCGCCAAGAGCATATTATTTACTGACATAAAGGTAAATAGTATTAGTCTGATGGAGTGTCATGATGCCGTGAACATTCTCCTGACCATATCATCCTCAGCGCAAGCACACGAACTCCTCTCCACGAAGCCAGAGTTCTCGGAGCAACCATCCCAAAACAGCCATGTGACCCAACAAGAACCGCACCGGCACCATGCTGTGGACGTCGAATGTCGGAAGTCGGCGTGGGTCTGTGTGCTCGGGTCATTTCTATTTCTGATGCCTTCTTTCGGTGAGCACATCCGAATCCCGGAACACCACCCTGATAAATTGAATACGGGGAAGACCTGACACTGATGTCTAATTTCATAGGGTTCATGCAATCTTCCGGGGCAGTACAGTCAATTCTCTTAGAGAACCAACTGAGAGATTATTCTGCCCGTGATGTTGGCTGGATTACAGGAGTCTACAGCTTTCTCACGATGCTTCTCGGTATCCAGGCAGGACCGCTGATGGACGTTTACGGGCCAAGATTTCTTGGACCGCTCGCGACAGGACTACTCGTTCTGATGTTCTTTGTCCTCGCCGAATGCGCAAAAATTTGGCAGTTCATCCTCTGCCTAGGTGTTCTGGGAGGCATTGGTAATGCTATTGCTACAACTGTAGGCATTGCTGTAATTGGGAAACTTTTCAATCGTCGTAAGGGGTTAGCACTTGGTATCGCTTTGTCTGGTTCTTCTACTGGTGGGATAATATTTCCATTGGTTCTAAGGCAAACGTTCCCTCTGTGGGGATGGGCATGGTCTATGAGAGCAGTGGGATTTCTGGCTGTCCTCATACAGAGCTTAGGCATTGCCTGCCTCCTTCCTTTCGAGAGATTGCATGCTACGATAGACTCCGATAGAGTGTCTACCAAAAGGAGCAGGAGAAGGGCTGTGATGGACTTTTCTGCCTTCCATTCACTGCCTTTCTCGCTCATCTGCGGCGCCATAGCGCTTCTCGAGTTCGTCATCTTTGGTGCAACTGCAATTCTTCCAACCTTGGTGGCTTTATCGGGACTTCCTATAGAGCATGGATTCAACATGCTAGCTATTCTGAACGGCTTTTCATCTCTTGGGCGTATTCTTCCTGGCGTGGTAGGTGATCGCCTGGGACATTACAACATCCTCCTTGTCATGATTGTTTTCACGATCATCTGCACCGCTGCAACGCTTACTACGTTTGGGTCGACTCGAATCGAAGCCTTGTATGCTTTCTCGGCTTTATGGGGGTTTGGCACCGGATCATTCTTGTCACTTGCGCCTGGTAAGTTGTTCCACTTCGAGTTGACAACTTGTTGAGTAAGTTGCCGTGTCCTATCGCTGACCGACCTTGTACGGTACTAGCCTGTGTGGCGAAGACTTGTGAGCTGAAAGACTATGGAAGATACTATGGTACGTTACTCCTAAATATTACCATAGCTCTCGGTTTCCTGACCAGCCTAGGAACAATGAACTTTGTCATAAGCTTCTCGCTTCTCTTAACAATGCCAATTGGCGGTCAGATGTTGCAGTCTCTTGGGCCGACTGCCTTATCGGGACTTTATCTTGCTGTTGTATTTGCTGGAGGCATATTCGTCTATGCAGGCCGGTCCGTGGTAGTAGGTTCTTGGACCAACTTCAGAGAGAGAATGTAGACAAGAGACGAATCCTGGAGTTATTATTGAGATTCGCCGTCAAAGCTCTTACTGGTACTTGCGTACTAATGATGACAAAATTGGAAGACTTTGTGCATTTCAAAGATGGTTCTTTTGATATCCACTACTTTCATTTCACTGAAGCCCTTTACTGATCATCTTGAGGGAACTTAGCGCCGCCCTGTCTCCTAATCTCATCCAAAATCTCCATGACACGAACAGTTTCTGCCCAGGGCATGATCTCGCTTTCTGTGCGCTCAGCAGCGATATCCAGCGCCACCGCGTCCGCCTCCCAGTAGAAGCCTTTACCTGGTCGCTCGAAGTCAAACTTCTTTGACTTCAGACCTTCCGTCGCAGAGTCGACCCATCCCTCGCCAGAAGCCTTGGAAGAGTACACTGTGAAAGAGCCGGGAACTGAAGTCGCGATACCCTCGACAATGACGTATCCGTTGCTTCCCTCAATCCTGCAGAATCCTGGTGGTGTCTTGACCTGCGTCGAAGCTGTCAAGATACCTTGTTTGCCACTGGGGTAGAGAAGAAGAGCCGATGTTGCAATATCGATATCGTCTGAGAGGGTTTGTGTCGCCGAGATTTTGGGCTTTTCAGCTTTATCTCCAACGCCGGGGTCCAGTCCCAGAATCGTAAAGGTCAAGCTGTACACGCCAATGTCGAGAAGACTTCCTGCACCTAGCGCCGGATTCTTCAGGCGCGAGTCCGGACCCAAAGATGCGAGGTTCATGTTCATGGCAAAGTCGCAGAAGACCCGGTGAATATCGCCAATAAGCTTTTCCGAGTGCAAGACGTTCAGGAGAGATCTTGTGAGGGGGAAGAAACGCGTCCACATTGCCTCCATGACGAAAACACCCTTCTTCTTCGCGGCCTCAAACACCTCCCGCGCCTCCTTGGCTGTGATGGTGAAGGCCTTCTCGCATAGTACATGCTTGCCCGCGTTGATGGCATCGAGGCAGTTTTGCTTATGAAATGCGTGTGGTGTGCCGATGTAGATGACGTCGACGTTAGGATCGTTATAGACCTCCGCATAGCTACCATAAACTGTCGGCGTTTTCCCTGGGAGATGCTTCTCGACAAACGTCTTGCCCTTCTCAAGTGATGATGATCCGATGGACTGAACGATATGCTTGGCCCTCGCGTTCGAGCGTTCAAGTACTAGATCCTCGACGAACCATGAGGAGATCAGGCCGGTGGCGATGATGCCCCAGCGAAGGGTCGGGGTCTCGGCAGACATTTTGGAGTCGGAGATGATGTGTTAAGAGTGAAAGTTGCTGGTAAGGCTTGCATGCAGGACAGGAGGGAACAGCAGTCAAGGGGTCACTCGATGTATTTATGAGATCTGGAGGCTGATAAATCACTCATGGCAATGATGCGGAATCGCGGGCCGCACCCGTCATGAAGAATCAGATGCGTTATCATCCGCCCTAGGGATGAAAACACCAATAAGCAAGTCATTCTGCCAATCCTGCACTAAGAAACACTGAAGAAGCCACAATCTCGACTCCACAACCTGTCACGATGTTAATGCAGTGGGGGAAGTGGAGAATTCAACTAACAAGTTGGCCGACACTCCCCGGCTGACACAGGCTTTTTGGGTTGGTTTATCTCCGCGTTCCGGCCATTTCACCTCAGGGCTCATGCTCAAAGAGCACTGGTCAAGAGGCCGCTGCTTTTGTAGCCACTTCGGCGAGACAGTGACGTTCCGAGTCGACGGGCATTCGCTCACCTAGTCGTCTGCAGGTATAGGCGTATAAGCCAATTGAAGCGGTCAGTTCTACTATGAAGGCTCTATATATCATTCAGCTCAGAGCACATTTGTCTTGTACAGGAGGTCGAGCGCTGAACATCGTCACGATAACACAGTCGGAAATACGAGTAGAAGGAACTCATCGTCCGGCTTTTGACCCTCGCCGCCGTCTCCGTACAGCCTAACACTTCGCTCCGTCGGGCCAATTGCATCGGGACTCGGCACACAGCCGAGGATATCAAGTCTGATGATTCATGTCACTTGGAGTCTGGAGATGTCAAGTTCTCTGAGCACCCTCTGCCATGGGAACTTAAGCATTGTGTTCTGTTCTGCCATGGCCCACTTCAGGGGCCGATGTTACCTTCAGAGTGCTGGCAAAACCTCCTGCCATTTTCGACATCTCAATCCTGGTCGAATACGAGGTTTGGCTGCCAAGTCAGGGCATTTATATCTTGTCTATCCCGGCAATACATATCAATACGGGCTTCTAGCCAAGATTGATCAAGGGGATTTGCAGAGATGCATACGCTTTTTGGGCCCCTGGGCTCTGTGCTATCTTATATCAAATGACAGCTTAAAGAGACCACAGCACCACATGCGGTGACAGTTCCTGTTGACCTCATTCCTATCCCGAATCGCTGCAGTTCTCGAGATGTTGTGGCGAAAGGTCTTTACTTTCGCGCCTTTGGCGGCCATCGCCAGCGGCCATCCCAACGCTCATGGTATCCGATACTCCAAGCGGGACTCAACACTGGAGGTGACCCTCGCACCTGTGATATCCGAATCTGGCGCCGAGGTTTCCGCCACCATCAAGAACACTGGCAGCTTGGACCTCAACCTACTCAAGGTTGGCACCATCTTGGACGACAAGCTTCCTGTCCAGCGTGTGTCCATCGTTGGCGAGTCAGGTCAGTAGCGCCACGGTGACGAAAGTTGCCCGTAGCTCACGCGCCAGCAGGGAACGCGGTCTCCTTTAGGGGCATTGAGCCGAGCATTCAGTACGATGCGCTGAAGCCAATTCATTTTGAGTCGCTTCCAGCTGGTGGTTCAGTGACGGTTTCCATCGACGCAGCAAAGGTTCATCAGTTTACGCAATCTGGCACCTACTCTATCACCGCTGAAGGCATAATCCCGATTGCTCTAGCGCCGTCTACAAACTTCTCTCAACCTGCCGTGGCTTTCAAGTCGAACACCATCCAAGTTAACGTTGACGCAGACGCTGCCGCAAAGTTATTGGTAACTGCAGCTCTCAAAGAGCGCACCAACTTACAGCCAGGATGCAATGCGACAACGTTGGACGCCAGCACCAAAGCCCTGGCCAACTGTCAGGCCCTCGCCCTCGCTGCCGCAGCGGATGCAGCTGACCCGGCCTCTCAGCGGTTTGTAGAGTATTTCGGCACCAATTCATCAGAAACTCGCAATATAGTTGTCACTCGGCTTCGTAACGTCGCGCAGGAGTGTAGCTCAACTACTTCAGGAGTGTCTCGGTATTTCTGTTACGATTACTATGGCGTTTGCGAGCTCGACGGCCCTCTCAATGCCTACACTGCCTGGGACGTCAACACAATGGTTATGTGCCCGCTCTTCTTTGGCCTGCCGCCACTCCCTGTAGGATGCCACCGACAGTGTCAAGCTACAACTACAATCCACGAAACCACGCACTGCGAGGCAGTTTATGCTCCTCACACAGACGACTACGCCTACGCTTACAACGCCAGCGTTGCATTACCCCCAGAACGGGCTCTGCAGAATGCTGATAATTATTCCCTTTACGCTAATGGTATGCCCCCTTACATCCCTTTTCTTGCTTGTGATATGAAACGATGAGGACTAATCTTTGGTCTTTAACTAGCTGTCTATATGGGCTGCTAAGGCATAGGCGGACCTGGAGAATGACACAGGCGAACCATCGAACGCTCTCTATTCTCCACGTCAGAGACAAGCGTGTCTATTGGCCTTTCAGAAGAAGTCGAAAAGGGTCTCATACTTTTCCAAACCATGATGTGAGGCATGTAGACTGAATGAAAAAGATCATCATTTAACCATCTCAACTTGGGGGAGCAACGCAAACTTACATGAAAGTGGCCGAACTCGGGCCGGCATGCTTCGAGCTCATGGCGGTTTCCCCTACTTAGGTAGACATATGAACATCCGACCTGTTCCCAATGGCATCGGCCTACCACGTGCTCCCATCAAGCTTGAAGAATCAGGAACTAGAGCTTGTCGGCCACCTCCGACGATAATCACCGGCAACATCATCTCAAGCCAATGACATGAAGCCCAGTTCCCCCGCCTCTGTGTCTACCATTTTCCTTATCGCCTGTATCGCCCCGCATACTTCAGCTGTTAAATCGCCCGAATTATCCTCTTGATCTTATAAAATCATCTCTTGACTTGAACGACGGACTCGATTTGCCCTGACTCGACGTAGCCGTTCCCCAGTGCCAACAAGTCTTCAATGGTTAATTAGCCCACAATGAGCGTTGCAAATCTTGCATCTGATCCGGGGACGACCCTTCTACGTTTCGCCTCCGGGAACGGACCGGTAACCCGCCGCATCCTTCGGACTCCGCTCCGCGATGCCCTTCCTACAGAGATCCCAGTCATCGACGTCTCGCTCGCATTTAGCCCTGAACTCAAGGACCGGAAGACTGTAGCCCAGCAGATCCGCGACGCTGCCACGACATCCGGCTTCTTCTACCTGATCAACCATGGCATCGCGCCTTCAGTCACTGATTCAGCCCATACGGCCTGCCTTGAGTACTTTCGCCAGGATGAAGAGACAAAGATGCGCTCATGGGTTGGGAAGAGTCGCTACTTCAACGGCTACAAACCGCCTGGATCTCAGCGGATCAACAAGTCAGAGAGCGTCGATGTCCGCGAGTCATTTAGCTGGACATACGACCCTCGCCACGACCCTGATGTGTTCGACGTCGATGCCATTCCTGCGGAGGCGAGAAAGCTTTTGCGGATTGAGGACTTCCACTGGGATGGCACGGCTAATCAGCCGCACTTCAAAGAAGCCATTATTCTTTATTGGCAATCCTGTTTGAAGCTCGCTCGCGTCCTGGTTCGCTCCTTTGCGCTATCGCTTGATCTACCTGAGGATCATTTTGATGCCAAATTCGCGTACCCTGATGCTGCGCTGGCGCTGAACTACTACCCACCTCTCAGTTCCTCGGCTACCGTGGATTCAGACTTCAACAAGACAGTTTCCATAGGATCGCACACAGACTTTCAGCTTTTCACCATTCTATGGCAAGACTCGGTTGGGGGCTTGCAGGTACTAAACCGCCAGGGGCAATGGATCAGGGCCGCACCTATCCGTGGGACGTTTGTCGTCAACATTGCCGACTACCTGCAGCGCATCACAAATGATCTCTATGTCAGCACAGTGCATCGAGCACAGAACTTGAGTGGAGAAGAGCGAATCAGTATGCCCTTCTTCTTTGGCTTCGGCCTGCATGAAAGCTGCGGCGTGATCGACACATGTGTCAAGGAAGGGGAGAAGCCAAAGTACGAAGAGATCGGCTGTGAAGCTTGGGTCCAACGAAGAGCTCGGGCGATGCACAAGGTTGACTCTGATGACGAAAACGACTGTGCGCGGTGAGCAAACAAGGCACCAACGGGGATTCAAATCACCGTTTGCTTCAACATTACCTCCCGAATCCGTTTGCTTCTCCCAATTCTGATTAGTACCCGGGGCGTATTGAGTGAGGCTGGAGGTTTTGAACCCCTGTGTGGCTCAGCTTTTGATGTTACCTGGACCGAGGCAAACAAAATCCCAAAGATAAAGGCACTGAAAACCCCCTTACTTGGGCAAATCAAGTCTGCATTGTAACACATTCATCTGCGACCTTCCTGTGAACTGCCCAGAGCTATGAATCGGCTCAAAGTTTCGGTTCCCAGGGAACAAGTGACAGAGCATCCGGCGGAAGATCATTCGCCAGGCAGTAGTAACAACACAACGATGAGACCCCCAATGGACAGCTCACGATCATCACAAACTGAGCCAACGAAATTAGTTGAGGTAGATCGCTTGAAGTCTGTTCTGCAAAAGTGCATCAGGTCTGCACATCGGTTACGACTGCGAAAGCCATCACTCCTCCGAGAGCTTCTATTCTTGGGAGTGGCAACAACTATCGCATGTTCTATTCTCATGTAGGTTCTCATTGATAAGTCATCATCTTTTGACCCAACGTGAAGGTAACTCATTCTTCTTTAGTACTTTATTATATGTCTTCGTATTTGTTCTACAGCCTCAAGCTTTGAGTGACGCGGCTTCCCAAAACTTCATCTCCAACAACCCGATCACAACAAATGGCCAGCCAGTCGATGGTCTTTCAAGATGGTTGGAGGACTTTTCTCGCTCAGTCATCCCAATCATGTGTCATTCTCACAACGACTACTGGAGGCCGTACCCCCTTTACTCGGCCCTCGCAGCGGGCTGTACCGGCGTGGAAGCGGACATCTGGCTGAGCGATGATGGTTCCGACCTGCTTGTTGGCCATGACAGACATGAACTGTCCTCCAACAGAACTTTGCGATCCATGTACCTTGATCCCTTATTGAAGATTCTTGATACCATGAATCCTCCAGAGCAGTGGTCGAACTTCAGCCGAACAGATCGGCCGCAGGGTGCTTTCCGAAGTCAACCGAACATCACGATAGTCTTGCTGCTGGATGTCAAGAGTAATCCGTATAAGACGTGGCCAGTGGTGATGGAGCAGCTTGGACCTTTGCGGGAAAAGCTCTTCCTGACACGCTACGAGGTAATAAGTACTGAGCCAGGCTTCATCCTCAGGCAAGATATATGGCCGGGTCCTGTGACCATCGTGGGTACTGGCAACCTTATGCAAGATCGCATGATAAACCACTGGCCAACGAATGAACTCTATCATCAGTATCACGACACCTTCCTCGACGCGCCGTTGGACCAACTTCCCGAAGATAATTGGCGCCAGTACAATGACTATGGCTACTTTGCCTCTCAGCTGTGGCATGAGCAAGACACCTATTACACATCCGTATCATTTCAACAAAGTATCGGATCAGTTCGCACCGGCTTCAGTACCGAGCAACTTGCAAAGCTACGGAAGCAGATCAGTACTGCTAAGTGGTCAGGTCTCAAATCTCGGTATTGGGACCTACCAAGTTGGCCAATCTCTCACCGCGATTACGTTTGGGAAGTGTTGACAAGAGAGGGAGTCGACATGTTGAATGTCGACGACTTACAGAGCGCAGCGAGAAGAGGTTGGACAAAGGGCTACGTGCAAAGCGTGATATGGGTGGCCTTGACTTCGTCTGTAATCTTTGTCACTGGTATTACGATGACATGGTTTGGATTCCGGGCTATCAGAAAGCATATGAAGGGTCTTCAATCTCAGGGTATCGTGTTAGCATAGGTAGGTTAGGAAGGCAATCAACGGACAGTATTAGACTCATGAACGCACATCTGTTTCTTCATTCTTCACTCGAGTAACGCTGCTATCGGGAATACCGGATAACCCGGATTATATGTCGCAAATTCACTAGTCAAGCAATTCCATCTTGTGTATCAAGAATGATGCTTATACCGCCACAAAGACGTCAGGTCCAGGCACCACGCATCCAACACTTGGGAATCCATGTCTACCGAACGGCGCGTATCTCCGCGGATGTGGTCCATGCGACTTATTCATCGACTTCGAGATGCACCATAGAAAAGGTCTACAAGTGGCCCGATTTTCTGCCTTCCAGCCTGCTTTAGTCTTCCGTCATTGGCGAAGAACCTGTATCTGCGTTTATGATTCGCACTACATAGCACGAGATCAGGTTCTGTGAAACAACACCCCAGGGATATGCCACACGGCTTAGAGTTTGTAACAACGTAAGTTGGGTTGGCTCGCACAGAACAGACTATCCTTATTGGCGTTTGTCGAACAGAGTTTCGGCTTTAACCTCCTCCATGAATTGCGAAGACCTCGAATTCGACATGCTCGACCACGGGCCTTTGAGCATCAATGTAACGCACGAGTCAAGTGTTCCTTTTGACTTCAGAGAGGATTTGAGGGGAAGGCCAGGCCCAGCGAAACAGGAACATATATGTTCATGTGTCCCACGTGGCGGGTGCATGTAGATTCTGCCCAGGGGATACAGCCTGACCGACGCCCTTCTTCTTTCGAGAAGTCAGATTGTCATGTCAGCCGCGGCACAACGGGGGACGCTGGCACCACTTCCGGAATATCACCGCCGTGGACTGATTGTACTCACTATCTTCTCGTTCCTCTCAGCCATAGCCACGACGGGACTCTGGCTCTTCATCACTTATAAGTTACTGTCATACCGGAAATCTCGCCCGCCCCCAAGGCAACGAAGTACACGACCACAAGATGCCGATATTACCGATCTACCGGACCTCTCTCTGGGGCTGGATGCCCCTTGCGCAGGTACCAGCGGATTTGCCCGGATTGAGGAGCTCGACAGACTAGCAGCGTCACAAGAGCAAGCGGCAGAGGCTGCCAGTGCTACCGGGGATCGAGAAGACCAAGAGGTTGAGGAGACTCGCAATCCTTTCCCCATTCTCATTTATAATCTCCTGCTAGCAGACATGATGGAGGCTGTTGCCTACGCACTCAGTATATCCTGGGTCTCAGCTGACGGCATCTTTGCACCTTCATCAGTCTGCTGGGCTCAGGGATGGCTGGGATCGACCAGTAACTTGGCAGCAAGCCTTTTCTTGGCGGTTATTTCGATAAACACCTTTTTGACAGTAGGCCTGGGTTATAAGCCACCACCGTGGACCATCTATACTTCGATAGGATTCCTCTGGATATTCGACTTTAGTATCAACGGAGCAGGCGTAATATTTTCGGAGATCCACCCAGCAGTTCCTCAGGAGTCTTTTTTCATGAGGGCCAATGTCTGGTAAATAAGATCTAGAACCCCCTTGCTTTGATCAAAGCAGCTCCGGCTCCTAAGAGTTCTCACACTAATTCAACATCGGTACAGGTGTTGGATTTCTACATCGTATGATTCGTGGCGGTTTTGGGCTCATTATTTCTGGATCATCGTCTCCATCGCTCTCACACTCAGCCTCTATTCGTTCGTCTTCTTTACCCTGTGGCGTCAAAAACGAAGTTGTCGTCACCTGCCGGAAAAAAGAGCGTCACAAAGCGAAGCTTCCGAATCAGGGTTCGAACCCGGTCATAGCCCGGATGTTCGACGGCCCTCAGGCTATCACCCGGCCTTTCTTGCGTACCCTTTCGTATACGTCGCTTGCAGCACCCCTTTAATCATCGGCCGAATTACTTCTCTACTGGGCATTGACCTTGGGATATTATATTTTGCCTTCGCAGGGTCCATCTTGGCTGCGAACGGGCTCTTCAACTCAATACTTTGGATAACAACGATTGTGTTTAGCGAGCAACAAGACGCACATAATACGGGCTTGGACCAGTTCGCCTTTGTCAGAACACCAATACGAGATTATGGACACACTGTAATCATCAGTGGCCCTGTTAGTAGAAGAGCGCCTGAGCCAAGCATTGTTCCCAGCGGCGGTCGCAAAGAATGGTGGTGGTGGAAACATGGCGGGCAAAGAGGCTGGGGAAGATCGTACGCCAACATGCACGAGACGCCTAGAGTGAGCGAGGCTGAAGTGCACGATCATACATTACCAGTCATTGTGGAAGGTCCGTATATTCAGATGGACATCGTCACAGCCGTTACCGTTGAGCAAGCGGACACCCAACCGATACCCCCGGGTAGGCCTCAAGAGACCTGCCCACCAAAATAGCGTTCTCGTTTTTGCATATCATAGGTAATGAGGAAAGTTGAGAATGTTTTGAAAAAAAGTCAAACCGATACGAGGTCCCGAAATTAGAGTCAAATTCTGTATGAGGGACCGCAAGCTGGTGTAGAATGACGAGAGACTAGAACACAGGATAGTTATTTAATATGAATGTTGCTTAAGACTGATAACCCTCTCCTATGGTCTTTGTAGTTCTCAATGACCATTGAAAGCTACGCAATAAGCAAAAAAAATCCAATCAAAGCAACAATGTTTACAGCCGCATCTGATGAGATGCCAAGCTCCTTGGAGAGCGGAAGCTGCCTTCGGTATTACCAAATGGTCTGTAGACCATCAGCCACATTGAATGAACCCCAACTCAAAGCAGCGAGAGAGCTAGCCAAAAGCAACGAAACTCCCCATTAATTCAGTTGGGTGGACCCTGGTATCGGTTTCGCTTTTCCTAACCTTCATAACTCCGCTACTCCCCGCGCTTCTCATTTGGGAATCGTCACCCATTTCCATCAAGCCAACAAACGCATCGAAAACGAATCATCGTCGAGTTTGGTATCTGGGTAGATCTCCCGCCCGTATCAGTATATCTACAACCCCACAGAAGGCCTTGTGGAACATCCCACAATGTCCGATGCAGGCAATGAGGCGCCTGAAACGTCCAACAAGCGGCGCCGGACCTCGGGCATGTACCAGAGACGGCGTGCTGTTGCGGCGTGTGGGCCCTGTCGGGTCCGTAAAACGAAATGTGACAATGTCCGGCCAGCATGCGGCTTTTGCCAGCGGAACGGCGGACAATGTACATACCCCGACACCTCGAATGACTTCTCAACGTGAGTGCTCTCTCTTAGTTCCTGTGAGAAATGCTCCGGGTCGGCTCGGTCTTACTTACAGTACAGATTCGATCCCGCGAGCTTGGCAATTTTGGACCGCCTCAATCATGTTGTTTCTCTTCTCGAGAGTCGTCCGGAGCTACCAGCCGCGCAAGTAGTTGCCGCTCCCCCCATTCCCTCAACACTATCGCCAACATCGATCCATGGGCCTCAAACTAGTACAAGCGTTACTATTGACGAGAACCCAAGTCTTTCTCCTGACGATCTACCAGAGGACGAAGTGATGATCCGCCTCGATATCCCAGACTCTGCCGCTGCTAGGTCTAATTGTGAGGCCATCCTGCGATGGCCAATTTTTAGGGGATATGCGCCTGAGACGGAGTCTTTTATTTTGGAGCTAGAGGATGATGACGCAGAGTCTTCGCATCGATCTCAATCTGCCAGAAGTCGGAACTTAGGGCGCGGAGTTCAGGAAGACGACTTCACGGTGCTGTCCAAGAAGTTCTTGGCATACGTGCATGTGAAGAACCCAGTTCTTGACGTGATCGACTTCAAAGCGTACGTCAAGGATACAGTAGAGAACGGTCCTCGATGGGACGGACCGTCGTGTCTAGTCGTGAGTCCTCGGTCTATTTGATATTCTCATGACCGCTACCATGCTGACGAAGCTTCCCATTGAGCTGATTGCATGTGCACTCGCCTGCCTTGCGAGCCCATTTCAATCCGAGATCAACTTTAACAGTACGCCCGAATCGATGCGCTCGTCAGTATCGACCACAACGGATCCAGATACAGCCCAGGCCTACTATCTCGCAGCCAAGAAGCGGCTGGGACTACTGGAGCCCTCCTTGCTTCAGATTCAATGCCTGTTCTTCTGTGCAGTGTTCGAGATGTACTCACTTCGTCCACTTCAGGGCTGGTTCTGTTTCAATCAAGCCAGCGTTCAATTCAAGAACCTATTCTGGCGGAGGGCCCAAAGGCGGAATTGGCAAAGTATCTCTCAGAAGACACGGCGCCTTGAGCAACGCCTTTACTGGTCATGCATGAAGTCGGAATGGTAAGTCCAGCAGGAACCTTCTCTTCAAGATGGAGGGGGAAGTCATGGCAGCTGACTCTCGACACTCAGCGAGCTCAGATGTGAGATACCGTTGCCACCCAGTGGCATCACTGGCCTAGGATATCCAGACTTGTTCCCTTCGCCCCCGTCTGAAGTCGCATCTCCTGCAGCTCAGCCAAGCGTGTTAGATATCTTGGAAGATGACATTCAGCCAGAGGAGGAAAAGAGTTGGTTCTATTACCTGGCTGAGATATCGTCGAGAAGGATGATCAATCGTGCTATATCGATATTTGGTTACAATGGAGAGCAGGCATGGATCCGAGGCATAGCCAAAGTGCTCGAGAAGAGCGAGGAATTTGACGAGCACATCAACCTCTGGTAAGAGTCTCCCTATCGCCCGGCGCGGATTCGTGTTTGATCCGAAACGTTCGCTAATGCATGCTCAGGTGCTTGCACATACCCTCTCAGATACATTGGCAAAATCGAGAGCCATCAAACAATGAGCTGGTACACTTTATCCAAAACCGAGCCACGAGCTGCCGCGAATGGATCCATCGGCCTTTCTTGTACTACGTGGTCCACCAACCGGCGGACGACCCTTGGATACCCCGCGTCATGCCATTAGCAGAGAAGTGCCTCCAGCTCTCACTCGAGCTGCTGCTTGACGCTAACCCTCACCACCGCCATCACGGAACATGGTTCATGGCCAGAGCGGCAATGACCCGTGCTCTTTTACTTCTGGCCGCAGTCAAGAGCGGCAGGTTCTCTCGGCTGCCCGAGCGATGGAAACAGGGAGTTGACGCGGCCATATGGGCTCTGCAGCGGTGGTATGGCGAAGCTCCGGATTTGCGTAAGGCTGCGTCTGTGCTTGAGGATCTCGTTGGTCAAGTTGTCGGGCCCGGAGTCTGAAAGGGTCTGTGGGGAGCTGCGAATGGAGCGGTCCGACGCCAGTACTTGTCAGGCGTCGCAATGGGTTGTCAGTCAATAAAGCGTTCTTTGAGCTCTTCTCGTGCCCAACTCGACCTAGTCCTCGGACATGTGAAGGAAGGGTCTGCAGGTCCTTGGCGTTCTCGGCCTTGGTAGGAGGAGAAGTAAAGGCGAATAGGCGAGCAAAGAGCAGAACAGGCCTTGAGCCCTTGTACATCCGTCTTGTTACTTCCGAGAAACACTTGAGCGCTTTGACATTCGCATCAGTCCGGAGGACTGTCTGTTTTACGGGCAATGCGCCTTGAATCACTTTGCTGGGCAGTCGTCTGTAGAGCTGTACCCGTAACCTTACTTCTCCTCTTTTTCAATCTGAATTGTAATTCTCGGTGAAAGGCGGGGCAACTAAATAATTCTTGAAGTTGTATTGACAAGTTGGCTCTCAGTGATCGCGGCTTTTGTCGGCTGATTGTTAGTGGTGTTGGAGGTCAAGGCGCACTTCTTTGGGCCACAGTCTGTCTGCAAAGACGACTCAAAGCCGAATGATTAAGAACCTGAACTTTCACCAAGCTGCAGCTAATACTCAGCTTTCTCTGGAGAAACATACATCAAGTACATGTATTGTCAAAGAGCTCGGCGTGGGGGCTTCCTGTGGCTAATGAACACTCCAAAAGTAGTTTTCTCTTCCATTGTTCTCTTCAGGACACTTACCGGAACAAAAATGGCAGAATGCAGCGTTAGCTTAAGGCCCCTTGACGCCATCATCCAGTCAGGTTCTGCATTTGCGCTTCCTCTTGTGCTCTCCAAGTGTCTTAGTCTGCAGGGCGCATGCCACTTCCTCCCCCCTCCACCATGTGATTATCTGAGACCCTTGAGCGAGCTCTCGCCCTCCATCAGTTAGCCCCAGGGCCACGTGTGGCTGGTGCTTACCAGCGTCATCCATGCAAGCCTTTTTCGATTTGGATCTCGTTCCCCGGGGCCTCCCTCGCACTGCTCCGGTTGCATCCCGCTATCGCGCATCGTTTAAACTTCTTCGCTTGGCCCAGGCCGACCAGCTGTCAGCCTAGCTTCGTTTCGTCTACGTCTTGTCCGGCGTCTGTCCCCTTGGCCAGCTCACTTTCGTCTCTAGACTCTACCGAAGATGTGGATCTTGCCATTTCACCGTCGGCCGTTGCATCTGGTGTCGCATCCGCTGGTCTCCACAACTCTCAACTTCACTCCGGGTATCGAGAAGAGCAAGGCGACACCTGGCTTGTCGATGTTGCAACAGTATGAAGAGGCATAATGAGTTTTCTCGCAACCGTCGGTTGAATCCGGGCTGCCTCCTCCAAAGTAGTGAATATCGGAAGTTGCCTTACGATGAGTCAACTTCACCTTTGCGCGGGTTTTTCCATTTACAGATTCGGAATTTGGGAGCGTGCCAAAAACGCTATAGACGCGACCAATAGGAATTCCATTCCCATCTTCAGATGACGCTTCCGCTGACGAGAATCGCAAATTCCTATTGGCTTGTTGGTTTGCTTGACTCTCACCTTCACCGAAAAGTTACAATTCCGATGAAGAGCCTGGAATTGGCAAAAAGCCAAAAGAGGTGAGAGGGCATGGAGGGGTAGGACAACGATAAATGCAGGTCGCGTGGCCGAGCGTTTCTCTTTACCTGGGAGTATCTGGATAAAGCTGAGCCACACCACCTCACAGAAAGTTGGGATGAAGCTATTGTCACGCCTCACGGGGCCCTTGTTCCACTCGGCCTCCTTCACCCGGACATATTCTCTCACATTCACTCTGACCTCCTTTCAAACCGCCCTTTCTCTCAAAAGACCTCGCGCAGCCTTTCCCCTGCAGCTCTTCCTCTTCCTCTTTCCTCTTCCACACTTTCGCTCGGTACCTGCAGCTAGAGTATCTACTTGCAACTTACAACCTGCAGCACCGCCAAAACCAACACCGACACCAACAAAACCCGGAGGCTCGGCATTTTGCTTCAGGCCCCCGGCTCAGCGACTGGTCGATCCAAAGTCGCATTAGCAGGGCATCGAGTGCCTTTTGCCTCCCTAGAGCATGGTCACGATGTCGTTCTCGTCCTCGTCTTCATCTTCGAGGCACTCGTCAAGATCCTCGAGGTGCAGCTGCGACAGTTGCGCAGAGTACAGATACGAAAGAACGTGCCATGTCGACGGCTGCTCCAGGAAACATGCTTTCATTCGCAACGATCCCCTGAGACCGGATATCAGAATTTACTCTGATTTCTGCGTTGATCGTAAGTAGAGAGGTCACTCTAGGCCCAGATCGCATAAGCTGATACTCCCTCCTCAGATACATGCAAGTTCTGCGTGCTTGGTTTAGAAATGTGCAACCGTCCCAAGGACCCTCAGCATCGTTTCTGCAGTGAACGTGAGATTGATCCTCACCCTCGTATTGCGATTATTCCTAACACTCAGAGCAGACCGGAGATGCGGAGTCGTGGGCTGCGTTCGAACCGGAGATTGCCCCTCGAATGTGCCACTCCCGTGGATGTGTCCGGACCGTGAGTTCTACCCACTCACACCACATCCGAAGCTATGACGTTGACATACATCTTGAATAGACAAGTGCTTTGTCGAGGACTGTTACAAGACTAGAGACAAGCTGTATGGCTACTGCGCCGATCATCGATGCCGAGTCGGAAGCTGCTTCGAGAGGAGGATATCCAACTCCGAGTTCTGTGCCGACCACCACTCGCGAATTTGCCGAGAGCTGAATTGTCGAGAGGTGATATACGCAGACCATCGTTGCTTCAATCATCAACGATGCATCGTCAAGAACTGCAAATTCCACCGCTTCAGACGTCCAGATGGCGGTCTCTGGGACTTTTGCGAACACCGTGAGTCAACTACCTACTTCTCACATCCCCATTAGTTCGAGGAACTGACGGGAAGGCAGACTATGGCGAATATCGCTGCACGTACAAAGACTGCGACAAACTGACGATACCTGGCACTCGCTGCTGCGCCATCCACAAGTGCACATTCGAGGGATGTGTCAACTTCCGAGACAACGAGCTTGACAAGGAGAGAGTCTTCTGTCGAGACCACGGGTGCGGCGCATCGAGATGTTACGCTGTCGCTGTTGCTATCGATGGGGGTGGCTTTCGTCCCTTTTGCCGGAGACATACTTGCACGATAGCTGGTTGCAACGAGGTATCCGAGTTCGGTGTCCACTGTCACAAACATCGATGCCACTGGAAGAGCTGCGAAAAGCCATGCCTCAAGGGAGGAGAGTACTGTGGTGATCACGAGTGCAAGAGACCTGGCTGTCGCAAGATTGCCAGACTGCAGTTCGGCTACTGTGCAGATCATTGCTGCAAGATCGACGGCTGTATCAACTACTGCGACGTCACTGCCGACAGGATATGCTACGAGCACTCGAGAGGTGATCTCTTCGATCGCATCAAACACCTCGAAAAGAGGTTGAGAGAACGGCAACACGAGCATATTCACGATCATCACGATCATCACCATCCACATTTCGACGATATGCAAATTCGTTATGACAAGCTGATCAGAGATTACGATGAATGCCTCATTAGACTGAACGAAAGTAGAGAGGAGATTCGCATTCTTCGGACCACTTTCATTTCACCAGACGACAACCGCATCTGGCGAAAGGAACTCGAAGATCGCAACGCTCGCCTGTTGCTAGATCTGGACAGAGAAGTCAAGAGAAGCGAGCATTGGGAGCGCAAAGCCATCGAGTTCGGTCGAAGAATCGATGATCTCGAGGTTTTGTTGGCAGAGGAGCGACTCCGACATCCAAAGTCGGATGAATACGTTAGACAAATCGCAGATCTCGTACGCAAAGTCGAGATTCTCGAGGATGAGTTGCGCATCGAGCGCAATAATCATCACATTCACGAAGGACGACAACGCGAGATCGAGAAGCTCGTGCGTACCATTGAGGAGCTCGAGCGAAAGCTCAAGGGCGATCACATCAAGGTGGATGAGCTCATCAAGAAGGTTGATCTCCTGCAATCGATACTCGCTGGCGAGAGAGAGCAAAAGGATATTCTTCTTGCTGAGCTCGCCAAGCGGGATGAGTATGAGAGATTGAGACGAGAGGAGCGCCGTCGTCCTAGAAGAGGAAGCTGGGAGAGAAGATCTCGCGACTCGCGGCCATGGGGAAGTGTCTTCTGAGAATGGTGACTGAACAGTGTGAACTTGACTTTAAGAAAAGAAGGTCAACGGTGGCTTTCTCATAGGATTCTGAGGTAATTATTGGCTTACTTGCATTTGGCGTTGGTACCAGGGAGTATTCGGGAAAAGGACATGCGATACCCAAAATTGCCGCCTCAAAGGACCAGGCAATAAGTAGTCATAAAGAATATTAATAGAGACAACATTGAGTGACTCATTGAAGAAGCATCGATAAGATGGATTAGTAAACTCAGCAACGCTTGATTATGACATGGTTTACCTTATGATCTGTTACCTTCGTTGGCTCTTGGCTTGCCAGCCATAGGGGACTTGGAAATAGCTTGTAAGGTGTGGACATCCCGGTCTGACAGTACGTATTCATGAATAACTTTATCTCGGCAGAACAACGCCTTGTTCTGGCGCCTTGTTCAAAAGTCCTCGGCCAAGACTCGACGGTCGGTGACAACTCTTTCAAGGCTCTGGAAAGAACTCTGGAAAGAAAGACAGCGTGTTGACAAGGAGGACTCTATATTGTCTTTTTCGGCATTGAGATCACTTGGAGAACAATTCTCTTTAGGACTTTACGGTGGGAAAGAGTGTTCAGAAGTCAAATGCATAAGAGCATGATAGTAGTTCAAGATCTCCCGCATTTGTTGGTCCAGACCATCATCAAACAATTTGCAAACGTCAGCCTTCAGTTTACAATCTTATCCAACTTTTACAGAGTCATCTCACCGTATCTCGCGACCCACAGGCTAACAACCACAATCAACATGTGTCAACGTCTCAGAATCATATACTATTGCCCTTGCGGCAACATCGCCTGCGTGCGTGCCAATGAGCATTCTATGACGAAACAGGTCTTCGCCCCAGGCCAAGGACACGTACTAAGTCAAAGCACCCACTTATAGGCCACCCCCCCTTTTAGGCCCCCCAACAAACATGGTATCAAAACATCGCCACCAACTACACTCAATTAATTAACTATCTTCTACTACTATAATAATATAATTAATATTATCCCTAAATAATTCGACCCCTATAAGTCGATTAGGACTAACTAAATAATTACTAAAGTCCTCCTAAGCTCTTTATATATTCTAAATATTAATAAACTTAATATTTAAGTTTATTTAAATAATCTTTTTTTAAGCTTTATATACTTAATTTTTATTTCTAAAACTTAAACTTAGTATTAAAATATAGCTAAGTAATAAGTTTATTTATTAAAAACCTTTTTATTTTTTTAAATAATAATTATTAAGTATTATTATCTAAACTAAGTTTTATAAATAATTTTAAATAATTATAAAGCTTATTAACTTTTTAAAAATTAACTAATTAATAATAAACGTTACTAATACCTAATTAAGTACTTTCTAGCTTTTACTAGCTTTTTAATTATTTACTTAATATTTATACCCTTTTAAATAGTATTATTTAAGTAAATAGGACTATTAAATTAATAAGTAACTTAATTATATTAAATAACTATAATCTAATTACTTTCTACCTACTTCGTATATTTAATAATATTAAACTAACTAAATAAGCTATTTAATAATAGCTTAAAAAGTACTATTTTTAATAATAATAAAATTATTTACTATATCCTCCTTATTAAGCTCTTTTTATAATAAGATTTAATAAATCTAAAAATAATTATATTTAATAATTATAAAAAGTATATAATAATAAAATAATAAATAAATATTATTCTTATAATATTTTTATATAAATTCTATTATTATATAACTCTTATACCTATTTAATATTAATAATTAAGATTAATTTAGCTTATTAAGCCCCTAATAAAAGAGATTTTAGTTTATAATAAAATATTATTTTTAACTATTAAAAATAATATTATTAATTATCTAACTATTATTTATTACTATAAACTTCTAACTATTATACTAGTTAAATTTAAATAAAAACTACTATTATTAAACTAACTTTCTTTTATATATAATTAATAAATTAATAACTCTACTATTAATAAAAATATATTTAATAATTAATACCTAAGTACGTAAACTAAGCTCTTTTTTTATTATTATAACCTTTATTATACCTAAAACTAGCTTATTAACTCCTTATTTTTATTATACTAATCTTATTTATATTATACTTATTAACTTATTAAATATTAAAAATCTCTAATATATTAAATAATTTAAATTATAATTTAATTATATTAATATATTAATACGTTAAAAATTAATTAAATAACTTCTTTAAACTCTTATTAATAAATTTTTTAATAAAAGTATTTATTTATTTCTTACTAAGTAATTTATTATCCCTAAGATCTTAAAACTTACTTAATAAATTCCTAATTTATTTATAAATTAATATAATATTTAAATAATACTAAATTTAAATCTATTTTATTAACTAATCTTTTATTATAAAAACCTTTAAAATTCTATAAATACCCTCGCTTTTATTTAATAACCTCTTTTTAATTTTATAATATTATTTTAAAAATTCTAAACTTAATTAAAGCCCTTCTAATAAAAAGACTATTTTTAATAATATTAAAAGCCTATTAAAACTTATTTTCGATATATAATATTATTATATATTAATTAATAAGTATATAAAGAAGAAATATATTTAGACAATTTTTATAATTATTATATTAAATTAAAAAAATAAGGTTAGTTTTAATATAGTGGCTAGGAGGGATTTTTAGGGTGGCCCAAAAGGGGGGGGGGGCCCATAAGTGGGTGCTTTGACTTAAGCATTGATGTCAGGGGCAACTGGTCCCGTTGTTCCGCGTGGATTCGACACGAACCGCGCGAGACGGTTTTCAACCCTGCAGTGAGCCCAGAAGGCCGCTCCCGATGGTTTCACCACTTTCATTGCGAGAAGGTTTGCAACGCCTGTATTCAAGAGCTGGCCAATGTTGAAGCCGCGAATATCGGCTTTGCTTGTCAACAATTGGGTGACCATCGAGTTGCTGTGCCTCTAGACTACATGCCAGCTCACCTGAGAAGCGCACTGTCGCATGAAACTAGAGTTGATGCTAAGGGGTATCTAGTAGACGATACCTTTGGCACCGATGCTCAGGCGAGCAGCAGCAGCAGTGAGTCCCATCTGTCGAGTTCAGGAACTTCAAGCAACGGGCCAAATATGATATTGCGACTGCGTGAAAAGACTCAAGAAGTCAACAGAATGTATGGAAGCCTGATGTTGCTGGCCCCAGACTCACCATACCCTCAAATCATCGGTCTCGAACGCAAAGATCATTATTTCACTAACCCTTTCGATGCCGTAGGATTCGGTGGTAGGATCCGGGATTCAAGTGACCTTTGGAGTCGAGTCAGTCCGTACGGTTCTGTTGGGGCTGAAATGGATATCTACCGTCATGCCCAATTCACACTACCGCCTACTCCGGAGATTCTTGGACAAATTTCGGGGAGCGTCCAAGCCGCCATTAGGGCATCTGAAGCTCGCGGAGGAAGAGGAGAAATGAAAGCCCCCAGCCCCGTACCTCGCCCTTCCATGAGCCGGGAGGAACTTTATGCGAGAGGTTTGGCAGACAGCTGGGTACAGAAGTGAAATGAGGGCAACTAGTAGCGGGTGTTACTTGGATCATGTCTAAGAATTGGTCTATTTCTAAAAGTACTCGACCTGAGCTGCAATATTCTAAGTTCTGTCTTTGCTATTGTACAAGCTTGATATAATTCTGTAAGCAACCTAAACAAAGTGAGATTACGGTATTTTTGGCTCGATCAAAACGCTTTTCGCCATGCGTGGTTGCTTGAGTTGGGTGCAGGGGGAGCAACGCACGATTGCTCAGAACTCGTCGTCTTGGAAAGCATCGTCCGAGGATTCGTCGGAGGTCCTGGGCAGACGGCCTGAGCCATCTTTTGAGTCCAAGTTAAATGGGTTCTTTCCAAGTACCATCTCTAGAATGATAGCAAATGTTACGAAACCCAGGATCATTGTCAAAAGTCCGAGCAGTTGAGTTACGAGCCAGCCGTAATCCCCGTTAATGGCAACCCAGACCGGGAAGCAGATGAAGCCGTATATACCCCCAACCGACATCGGGGTCAGGAAGAGAACGGTGAGAACCTTCCAGCCCACGAGGTAAGACCGGTACCGGTAGGCGAGTGCCGTGGCAAGAAAGACGCCAATGGAGTTGGGAGCCATCCACCACCAAGGGAATCTGTTGATAACAACCAGTGGCTGGTTTCCGTAGTAGTGATAAACTCCCGTTGGCAGGAGAATCTCCTCCACAATGAGGTCAGAGACCATCATGAGGCCTAGGAAGTACCACAGAGTCCTCGTCGACGTCTTGTTGGTCAAAAGTTGCAGGTTCATCTGCATCAACGAGGCGTATCCGAACCAGATTGGTATCCACGGCGGCATCTCACGACCAACAATGTGCAAAGAAGCATTCTGATCGGTCCACGGGTAGTAAATGCATCCCAAAACGTCGATGAATGTCTCGGGGAACGCAATCATTGCGCCGCTAAGTGGAAGAACTACAGGCAGAAGATTGCGAGAGCGTAGGGCATCTCTCGCGCCGAGAAGAACTGCCGAAAGCCCTATTGCCGTCATTGATACCATGCAAACGATATTGCTGGTCTTGTTGTATGGAAGATCTGTTGGTGGTCGAGGAAGATTGAAGGTCTGGTCGATGGTAAAGTCCATGCTTCCACGCTTTGGGAGTTCATGGAAGTATGAACCGATGAGAGCCACGGTCGTGAGGCCAGCAATGCCTGGTATAATAAAGCTGCGCGACGATGACATCTTGGATAGATGAGAGGGTGTCATAATCGAAGCGATTGGAGGAACGGTGATGTGATCTAGAGTCAAGGTGATGTGTTGTGAGAAGTGTCAATTAGTCTTGGACGCAAACCGAGAATCGGGCCCCTTAAATAATCCATTTCGTAATCACCCATCGCCCAGTAGTAATCAGTTGATACCGAAGTTTCTTCTGGAGCGAAGTGTGTTGTGGTGGAAGTTTTCGGTGAAATAATCTTGGG